AATTTCATCTTGCTAAAAAGCTTTTTCACAGCAAGAAAAACCAACAGGGTGAAGATGAAGCATACAGTGTGGATATAAATGTTTGTTATATCAACAATATAAAAGTTCTCAAAAAATTAGTCACCCCAAACTTAATACCAAAACTATCAATGGGAATTGGAGACGAGCCCTAACTTTTCAGATGAGGAAACACAAACAGCAAATACAAAATGTTCAACATCACTGGTGATTTGAAAGATGCAAATTAAAATAACACTGAGATTTTCTCTCACCCCAGAAAGGATAGCTATCGTCAAAAAATCAACAAATAACAAAGACTGGAGGGGCTCTGAGGAAGAAGGAACCCCTCTGTACAGCTTGTAGCAGTGTAGAGTGGTGTAATCACTGTGGAAATCAGTATGGAGTAACCACTAGGAAGAATGTATGCAATGAGTTAATTACTGAAACTGTCCCACCAATTTGATTTGAAACTGTCTCATTGCTATTTGTTTCTCAATAACATTAAGGGGAAAAAATCAGTATGGAGATTCCTCAAAACCTAGCATTAGGTTTTGACCCTGCTTTCTCCCCCTCGGTGTCTTCTCAGGAGGATTAAAAACTTCGTACCACAGAATACATGTGCAGCCATGTTCCTAGTGGCAAAAACTGAATTGCTAGCTCTTGGAAGCAACCTGAACACCCATCCTGCAAGGAAGATATAAAACAGATGTGATCTTTTTATACAGTGGAGTACTATTCAACTACAAAGAAGTGTAAAATGGAGACTTTTTTTTTGTGGCAGAACCAGGGACTGAACTCAGGCCCTTGCGCTTGCCAGGCAACTGCTTATTCTACTGAGCCATCTCTCCAGCCCCAAAAGGGAGACCTTTATAGGTAAACGGATATAACTTGAGATCATACTCAGAAGTGATATAAACCAGATTAAAATGTAAATCACCACATAGTAAAAGGCATTTGAAAAAGGTATCACTAGACACAACCACCTTGAACTCATTAAGGTGATGGAAGACATGGGATTATGGACGGAGCATGACAGCAGGTCCCTCAGGACCGCAGTGACCTTGAGACTCAGGGAGCTCGTCGCCAGGATGATGTGAGGGCCACCTTCCACCACGCAGCCGGCCACGACCGAGATGCAGGAGCTCGCAGACGCAGTGAGGGCCCAGCTTGAAGAGAAGGAAAAGCAGAAGTACTCAGCTGTCAAGGCCTTGTCCTTCAAGTGCCAGCTGGTGGCTGGGACCAACTACGGCATCAAGGTGGACACTGCAGACGAGAACTTCTTGCATTTGTGGGTGTCCAAGAGCCTCCCACATGAGAACAGGCCCCTGGTGCTGGCTGCCTAGCAGACCAAGTCCAGGCATGACGAGCTGGCCTACTTCGGGCCCCTTGTCCTGTGCAGCTCCATGCGACTGCCGCCATTTCTCTCCTGCAAGGCCATGTCCCGGACCATGATGTAAAGCATCCTGCTGGCCGATCAGCATGAGGAGCAGCTTCCTACACTGGTACAAAATGTCTTTGTGCAGTTTTCCCCTCCCAGTGAATGATACTGTTTTCAAGAGGCCTCTACATGATCTACCTTTAAGGGGCTGGGGAGATGGCTCAGTGGAATAAGCGCTTCCCTGGCAAGTGCAAAGGCCTGAGTTCAATCCCCGGTTCCGCCAAAAAAAAAAAAAAAAAAAAGAACTTACATGATCTACCTTTAAATATCTATTTTTAAAGTCTCTACTGATGAAAAAAAAAGTGGGATTACAGCAGTGAGCACCCCAGTAGAGTTACACAGATGCTGAGCCTAGTTTACAGGAGATGAAGAGATTCCCAGAATCAGCATAAATCGCTCCTGGGATTGAGAGTATTTTCTCTGCACACTTGAACATGCTTGCTGTCCTGTGTTAAACTGCTCAGCACTGTGTCTTCGGTAAAAAGTTCTACTCTGTTCTTTCACATTTACTTTTCACTTTTTCCTGCCTTGACACAGGGTGTCACTGTGCGACCGAGGCAGCACTTGGGCGAACTTTGCAGTCATTTCTGGCACCGAACTCACACCAGTCTTCCTGCCTCAGCCTCCCATGTGCTGAGACTCCACGCGTTTCTGCCACGTCCAGCTCTGATCCCCTTTCACGGGGATGAATGTCTGAGAATATTCCCAGTGTAGGGGACCTCTGCATAGGAACAAATAAAAACAAAGTCAAAGTACAGTAGGCACACCTGCGAGTCAAAATCCCCACTAGAGACTTCCCTTTTCCAAGCAGAACTCATGCTGTTCTAGTGCAGCTGCCCTAGAAAACCCTGAGAAATACAACATCCAACACAGGAGACCATCTGATGAAAGTCACTTTTTTTTTTTTTTTTTTTTTTTCAGAACTGGGGATTGAACTCAGGCCCTTGTGCTTGCCAGGGAAGCGCTTATTCCACTGAGCCATCTCCCCGGCCCCAAAGGTCACTTTTTAATATATTTATTTATGTATGTCATACAGGGTCTCACTACGCAGCTCAGTCTAGCAGTGATCCTCTTGTTTTCAGCCTCCCCAGTGCTGGGATTACCAGTGTGCGCCACCACATCCAGTCTCCTTGGCCGGTCAGCGTGCCCAGGGGCTAGGCCAGTGTGGTGATTGAATCCTGTCCCTGTCCTTGCCTACGCAGGCACTTAGTCCACTGAGCTATCTCGCCGGCTGAATGTCTCTTTCTAAAAAGGTCTCCATACACAGGTGAAGTAAAGAGTCTACAGATTTTATCTGAGTTAGAAAGGGTAAATACGGTGACTAACCCAAGGGACGTTCACAATGAAATGTATTACAAATGGACAAAGGGGCCAGAGAGATAGCTCGCAGGCACGAGCCCCTACCAGGCAAGCACCAGGACCCAAGTTCGATCCCCAGCCGCACATGCCAAGCAGTCTCAGCCCAGAGGCGGGTGCCCAACGTGTGGCCTAGAACCCAGCAACATGGCCCACGCCTGTATCTCAGCACTAGGGAGGTTGAGAAAGCAGGATCACTGAGAGTTTGAGACCAGCCAGGGGGCTGCAAAAGTGAGCACAAGGCCAGCCCAAACTGCTTAGCGAGACCCTGGCTTGGAAAACAAACAAAACAAAAAAGTGGTCAAAGCTAAGCACAGTGCTGCATGTCTGTTACTTTTTACTCATTGCTGGGACAAATACCTAAGGAAAGGTTTATTTAGCTCACAGTTACTGGAGGGTTCAGTCCATATTCCACTGGCTCCAGGGCAAAGGACAGCAGTTCATGCGGCAGAAAACAAGGAAGAGCAGAGGAGGAGCAGCAGCTGCAGCATCCACCAAGCCTCTCTCTTCCTTCTACACGGATTGCCAAGACTGGTGCTCCATGGCGTTCCTAGCTCCTCCAAAGGGGCGCGGCTGCCAAGATCAAGCTCCTCGTAAGACTGGGACTTCTCCAGGGAAGTCGGGCAGGGCGGCAGGAAGCCTTTCTCAATTCCTGGGCCCTGGCCTCGGGCAGGGCTAGGCCCCACGCTGAGAATTTCCGGAGCTGATTCAGCCAAGTTGACACAATGTATCAACTAACACAAAGTCTAAACACCAGCATTCAGGAGGCTGTGGCAGGAGGTTCTCTGAGTTGGAGGCCAGCCTAGGATACAAACTGAGTTATGAGTCATCCAAATTGCAGAGTGAAATGCTGTCTCCCCTTCCTCATTCTATGCCTGAGACTAGCCCTGGAGGGTGAGCACAGAGATGCCAGTAGGCAGAGACCCCGGAGGAAACACCGATCCTGTCCTTGAGCTCAGGCTCTCATTCAGCAATGTCCTGAGATCTCAAGCTCTTTTTTCATCACTGTCAGCAGGGACCGGATTTAAATAACTAAGCTGCTGTTAGGGTTGTGAAGTGCGCAAGGCGTGCTCGGGACGCTCTCCTACCTGGTCACATCATCTGCAATGCTAAGCCTTAGTCTGCATTCTCACGGCCCTGGCAACACTGACTATGAGTATGGCAATGGGAGGCAACACTGGAAATTCAGGAATTCGCCATGCAGAGAACAGGCGGAGGTCTGAGAGGAGGGAGTGAGCCCGCACCGCACCGCAGGCGCACAGCTCGGAGCCGCCGGCTGCCCACCGAGCACGCAGCCCCGCGCCCGCCCGCCCAACCCCGCTCCTGCCCCCAGCAGGCCCGCTCCACCCTCCCGGCCCCGTCTCCGCCTCACCATCGCGGGCATCCCAGAGTCCTTCCGCAGCGCGCGGCTGGCGGGCGTCGCAGACGGCCGTCCAGGACGCCGAGGGTCTCTCTGCAACGTGCTCAGCATGCAAAGCCGAGCACCGGAAGTCC